GATCTTTATCAGACCCTTTGAAAGTTTTCTGTGTCCCGGGTGAAAATACATTTCCAGCTTGTTCGCTTCGTTTTTTCCCTCCCGGCCGTATCACAGACACAAAATGCAATACTGACGATCTGCAATCCGGCACATCGTGTGACCACCGTTTCGTTACGTCAGTTGACTGCCGAAGAGGAAGCGGAGAAGTTGTCACATCTTCTCAAGACCCAATACAACTCGGCTATTGGGGACAAGCGCGCGGATGGTGGTGGTGATGCACAAAAGTCGGAAGAAAAGCCCAAGGAAGCCGCTGCGGCTGTGGGATCTTCTGGAGACGAGGTTGATCGAAAGGCAGCCACTCCTTGTTATTCAACTGTGAAAGTAAGTTATTTTGTCCAGCCTGTATTACTTGAATTTACTCATAGCCTCTATGTCCCAGGGGCTCAGAAGGATTCGTATTGATCTGTTAGAGGGTAAATAGCCGCTAGGTTATATATGAATGCACTCTCATTTTGCTCAGGTTCATCAATCGGTTACTATGCTAACCAGCTGTTGTGTCAGGCAGATGTTTTCGCATTTGTTTTTAAGGAAAACTGTTTTTTTTTCTCTCTCTGAACACTCATGTTTTTGCAGTTTGGTTCATCCAAGTGCCGGCTGAAGGCCATTGTTACGGCTCAATATACATCGTTATAATAGATGGCTATTGTGTTGTGATGGAACGCGAAAGATACTTAGTGCGCCCATTAGTGTACTTGTACTGCAACAGAAATAGGTTGCCAAGTTTTTTTTTCTCCATATTTTCACAATGTATTCAATGGGGACTTGTCTTAGACAGTGATTTACCTTGTAACGATCCATGAAGTGGCTGTTCGCAATCAAGTTTTTTCTTGCCTCCGGTCAGTCAGTTCACGATCAAAACATACACTGTTACTACTCCGTTTCTGACCGCGAATCGCTCGTCTTAATTGAAATGGTCTATTTGTATTCCTTTTTCTGTGACACTCATATGAGCAATATATGATAACCCGCTCAATTTTGACTAATTCGTGAAACTTGACCATCAACATTATATAAGCTCGGCAAGTGCATTCTGTGCGTAGAGTTTCTGTCGTACTAGAGAAATATCGTGGCATTGCGGTGTAGCGTATAAAACCAACGTTATAAGTTGGGGTTGATTCTGTAATTATCAATGCGGTACACATTGATCTTGTCTGTAACTGTATACACACTATCTTTTGTTACTGTTCTACTATATTTCTGAAAGACATTCAGTCAGCTTCAGTCGACGTTTGCTCATGAGGCGGAGACCCGGAACTAGCGGATATCTATCTCTTGATGAAAATTTGATATTTCGTGGATCGACATTGTAATTGTAATTGTAATAAACTGAAACCGACAGTTGATGTCGACAGTTTTCTGCGGGTCACATGACATTCCTTCTCTCTTCGTCATTTAGTTCTCTCACATTAAAGCATTTTAATTCTTCCTCNAAAGGTTTGATTTGGAATGGTCACAGTTACAACCTTCACCCCAACTGACCCCGTTTTGGTGTATTTTTGGAAGTGGAAGATCCTAATGATAATACCTCTAGTTTTTTTAACATAGTTATGTGGTCCACTTGCAGTATCGGGACTGCTTCCAGTTTCACATTGCTCTGTAACATTACTATTGCACATTTGTTCGTTTACCCTACTTACACAGCCTATGTTCTGTGATCTCATGTCTTTAGCTCACACTGCCATCATGTGAAATCAAATTGGCTCCACGTAACGATATTGCGGAATATGATGAGGCCCTGGCACCAAATGTCGCGGCGGACTACAAGGATGATCCGAAGTACGTGTCAAGTTTGATCATTCTTTTGGAATATGTACCTCGTGATAATCGTGTTTCTGTTCGATAGAAAACTTTTTCGGATCATTGTGGTTGACGTTACGTTTCTTCACGTGTTGTTGGGTCCTGGAAAACGAGTCTTTGCTGCATTTCGGTCGAATGGTCTGTTGATTCTGAGGAACTCAACTAAACCCGCAGTAACCGTGGCTAACGCTGGCGACAACCTCTAATCATTGGTCAAGTTGTTCACGAGGACTCCAACTTGGAAGTCCAATCCGAACTGCTGGACCGAAAACCTTGTTTAGGTTTTTCGTGTCCTGATGGCCTTCAACCTTCTTTCACTAGCAAGCTGTGTTGGTGAAAGATCAGTTTAAATAGGTACATTCAGTCCAATGGTTTACTAAAAATTACTAAAATTACTTAAATTCAAATTAGTGAATGTTTCGGTCTCTAGCACTTCGACCGGTTGGTAACCCCTTAGACCTGTGGCCTTGGTGATAGATCAGACTGATTGCAGCAATGTTCATACTTGTTGCCTTCTCGTGGTGGTTTTCCCACGAGAGTGAGAGGACGAATAACCAACATCCGGGCTGGTGGACCACTGGTAGTTCACCTAGGGGAGTTGGACAAAAACCCGGATTCCCAACCAACCAAGAAGAGGCGTACGAACTACACACCTTCACGGTTGTGGCAGTGGTCACCTGTTCGATTGGGCACCTTGGACCTTTGATCCCCTCCAAAGGGCGTATGATTCGACTAATTGGACACCAGCCCCAATGGATTGCGGTTTTCACACATCGCCCTGCTGCCTTGCTGACCAGACTTTGGCTAGCCGAAGGCTCCGGTTGTGGATTCCTTAATGAACTTCACCTACGTTCGCCTGGGCCACCTGGCAGTATTCAGCCCACTTAAAAATCATGGAACGTTTTTGTTTTTCATAAAAATTATTGTACCATGATTTGCTTGGTACGCAATCTGGTAGCAGACGTGTGATATGAGTATATAAGTATAAGAATGATCGGGAAAAGGATTAACGGATACGCATGCCTGACGAGTCGCAAGGACTGCGAAGCCGGTCACATACATCTAGGAAATTCTGTTTAGTCACTACTAACAGCATAACGATTCATATATATATTGATACACGGTGAGACTGTTCCATGTTGATTGCACTTTCTTCGCCCCACATTACATTCTTTTTCGTGTTTTCAATTTGTTCTGAGCGTTTATTTTCTTTGGGCGCTCTCAGTCTGTCATCGATTCGTGGTGTTCCCTTCAGTGTTTTTTTTTTTCAAGCAGCATTCAAGGTGTGTCCTTAAACACAGAAGTTCTGATGTTTTCCGTCCTTTTTATGGCTCGGAAAAGTAATGCTATCTTACTTTTCACTCAAACCCATAACACCATTCAAACATTTTAGGACGGTATTAGTATTACACATCATTTTGTTTCTTCCGGCGAACAAATACGATTTGTTTCGTGGCCTATTTCTCGGCACGTGAATCCATTTTGTGTCCGTCTTTCACGGGCCCGACTGCGAAACCCGCTTTTGCGTCAGTCGTGTCCCGATTGAATCGGCCGACTACCGTGATCTTTGTATTGATGCAAGCTTCGTTAGATGCTGAAGCAAAACTGAGTTCACCATTGATTATTCCAATCATGTCGCATCCTCTCATCGGTCGTGAATCGATATTGCTGTATGAACACCTGGCAAGATTCTCAGTTGCTCAGTCCTTACCAATCGGTTTCATGCATCGCACTGTTTTAAACATGTGTGAATATACGCGCATGTGCATCGTTGCATTGTAGCACAATGTGATATATGGGATGGTTAACCAAGAGTTCTCAGCTATTTAATTTTATTGTGATGCTTTATTGGCTCATTGTACATTACATTATATCTCCAGATATAAGTGAAGGGGATTCGTCCTACAGCTGTCTGTCGTGTTCATTTTCGATAGTATGAAACAAATGGATTATTTTTATTTCACAAATCAGCGTTACCACTGGCAAGAGTGTTGCAGACATGGATTCATTTACTTTGTAGAATATTTGTATATTTACATTCCGCACGCGTCTATGTTCGGATGGTGCCATACAAATCACGGTAAAACGA